ACTGGAGAGGCAGAGGCAGGTGGATCTCTGTGAGTTCAAGGCCAGCCTGGTCTCCAGAGCAAGTGCCAGGATAGGCTCCAAAGATACACAGAGAAACCCTGTCTCAAAATAACAAAAAAAATGAATCTTAAATCTAATCATTTTGGATAACAGATTGATATGAAGATTAGAATGAAGGTGATCCCAAGCCCTTGCCACCTGAGATATTCATGTATCTCATAAAGCACCTTCCCATTCCTGTAGCCACAAGCCCCCAGAATCTGAGTGCTTCAATGTGGGGGCTCCTAAGAAAACTAGAAACCTATGCATTCTATCCTCCCTCATATCACTCCACAGGTGTTTATATCCTATTACAGAGGCACTTGCACATCCAATATGCATATAAAATGTATTCACAAGACCTAGAAAAGGGGATCAGCTAAGATGACCACCACTTCATAAATGGATGCTAAATATGTGGTACATATACACTGTGGAACTGTATGCAGATAAAAAGAAAGAAAAATTGTGAAATTTGGAGGTAAATGGATGGAGCTGGTAATAAATACGCCGAGCCATGTAACCAAGTCTCATCAAGACAAGTACCATATGGTTACATGTGGTGAAAGAAAATAGCTTTAAAATTATACACATGTATGTTTCAATTGGAGTCCACAGAGACATCAGGAACTAGTAAGGTGTGTCATGGTATAGGATTTCAATGGAAAGCAATAAGATGCAGATGGTATAAAGGGAGAAGGATAATAATGTGGCAAAGAGTGGTTAAATAAAGTGGGGATGGGAAGGAAGGGGTAGAATAGGAGTAATGATCAAGGATAACTAACACTGAACCCCTTTGAAAATCCATATAGAACCTGGACCGAGGCATGGAGAATGGGAGGAACTTAACAGTTCAGTTAGTCTAAATATAAAGTATCCAGGTACCTTCTCTCCATTTCAGTCACGTCCTCACATAGCTAAGCAGAGGTACTCAATTATGTGTACAAACAAGAAAATAGGAAACAGAACTGTCTTCTAGTATTCCTGGCCTTCAGAAAGGGCTTCCTTAGAACTTCTGCTTTGGAGTACCTTCCCTACCTCAGCAGTTCCTACTTCCTATTCTCATCAATGGGATTAAAGTCCCTACAAATATCCTCTGACAGTATGGTGTCTGAATTTCTATGAGTGAAGGCAGTGTGGAGATGTTAAGAGTACAGAATGCCTACTTTTGAAAGGTTCAGGCATTAAGTATAACTCATTCAAGACAGAGGATATGTCGGTGGGAATTAAAAGCCTCGGGGTCATGGCTACCAAAATTCTCCTGCTACAGTATTTCCTGGATGCTGGACAAGGAACATTATGACTTAATGTTTGTCCTGGTAGAATTGCTTTGAGCTAATGACTTTTTGCTCCTTTTCTTCTTTCCTTTCTTTTTTCTTTCTTTCTTTTTTACTTTTATCCAACTTAATATAAACAATAGACATAAAGGAACTACATTTTCAATCCCAAGCTTTCTTCTCCCTCACACCATGGTCTTGAGCAGATCAAAATGCAACAGACAGGCATTACGTGCAAGCTGCTGCTTCTTATTGTTGTTCGTCTCCTCCTCCTCTTTCCTCTTTTTTTCGTCTAGCAATTCTTTTATTTTGTTTCTTTTAAATCATTTTAATTAATTATTTTCCCCAGCCTTATCACAATTTCCCCTCCCTCCCACCTCCTTTACCAGTCCCTTCCCAAAACTTCACCCAACATCCACTCTACCTTCTTTCTCTTCAGAAAAAGGCAGCTCTCCCATGTATATCAGCCAGCCATGGAATATCAAGTTGCACTAAGACTAGGCAACTCCTCTATTTAATGCTGGATGAAGCAACTCAGTAGGAGGAGAGGGTCCTAAAGCAGGTAACAAAATCAGGGAAAGGCCCTACAACCAATGTTAGGAGCCTCATAAGAAGATCAAGCTGTAGCATATGTGCAGATTGCCTAGGTCAATTCCATGCAAGATCTCGGACTGGCATCCCTTGTTGATTCTGTGGGCTTTCTTGTGGTGTTCTTGGCTTTTCTGGCTCCCATAATCCTTCCTTCCCTTCTTCCACTCAGTTATTGTAATTTCATTGAGAAGATATCAGGATTCTAGGCTTTTCCTCCTCTTTAATAAGGAAGAAGGATCTGATATATTTTATTGTCTGTTTTCTTTTCCATACACAAAACGAATCATAAATTAACAGATTATGGTAAGGTCTTCTATTATATTGCTACATTTTCATACAAACTCAGGCAAAAATTCTACTTCACAGAAAACTCTGTCAGATATTCTTGGCCTGTAGGCCAAAGATGGACACCTAATGTTAGAGAAGAACCTTGAGTGACTGTCCAGGCAGCCAGCTGCTTCTGTCATTTCTCACAACTTTTGGGCATTGCTTGTATGCAGTTTCTGCTTTCTCAGTTGATATTATTTCCTTCTTGGGTCTCTGATGGAGTTGAAGACTAGATAATTATAGTTTTCCTTGTTAGCAATTTCAGAAAAGAAACTCATAAGAGAGGTGTATGTTGAAAGACATAAAAAGATAGTTTTGGGTTTGTAATTCAAGTTAGAATAGAAAGTGAATTAGATACAACATTTTGGACTCACCAAGACAAAATAGATAATAGAGTATTTTTTCTAAATTTGTCAAATTCAATAGACTGGACATTGTTAACATAATTTTTGACCATATATATAATTGTGTGTGGTTTCATACTTATTATACACACTTTTTCTCTGTTAGTTAAAATCTTTGCTTTTTATTTAGACACAAAGGGAGAAATATTGCGTGATATTTTGTTTGTATTCTGACAAATAAAGCTTACCTGGAAATCAGATGTCAGGGATAATTGCTAGTTAACCATAGAGCCAGGCAGTGGTGGCACATACCTTTAATCCAAGCACACAGGTGGTGGAGACAGGACGTGGTAATGTGTCGTATATACATTTATGGATGGGGGAATGAGACAGGTAGGAAGCAATTGGTGGCTGCACCTGGTTCTCTGATCTTTCATGTTCTCTGCCCACAAATATTTGACTCCTGATTCTTTATTGATGAAGAATAATTAGATTTATGCTTCATACACATACTTGAATGAACATACACCACAGACACACACACACACACACACACACACACACACACACACACACACACACACACACACACCCCACACACACCACAAAAGACAC